ATTAGTGTCTTCATCGATTTCCAGTTCCTTGCATAGTTCATGGCTCTCTTCAAAAGGGACGCCTTCCATTTTCCTTGGTCGCACTATACGATTGAGCGCGATTAAATATGCCTGGGGAACCGATGTAATGAGCGCTTCCTGCTCATTAAAACTGCATCATCCCATCGCTGGTTTAAAAGACTACGAGGGCGAGCCTTTAAACCCCTTCAACTGAAGCATTGCAGATATACGTTGGCACATTAAAGCAGTGTCACAAGTTCTCTATTGCCAAATCAACCAATCAGCAGATTCAGCCGCTCTAGGTGGCAGTGATTGATTGGCTCTCTCTGCTGTAATGCATAAGCGAGAAGGCCAAGCCACAGCCTGCAGATTTCCAAGAGCTGGAAGAACAGGCAGCAGGTTTGTATTAGAACATGTGTGCCTTATGCAGAATTTAAGCTTTTTATCATGATCGGGTTTGTAGAAACAAAACTGACGGATATACCAGAAACCGGAAAGAAAGGTATAATGAGGATGAATTTCTCTGGAAAAGGCCCTAGGTTAGATGGTTATCAGCGCTGTGTTGATGGCTTATCTTGACTGCCTCTCCCTCATGGCCAAGCCGAAGAAGCCGACTTGTATGTCCTGATTCGGAGATACTTTCCGCTTTCTCTCAGAGTGGATGGCACTGTGGCTATGGCAAGGACAAGCCTCAGAGATGCTGTTGTTTGTATACCTTACGTGACACCCAATCATTAGCACCTCTAGAGCCAGCCCGAAGGCTTACTGGTAGGTATTCTGTGACAACTGCGTGGACGTTTCAGTATGTCGTATGATCGCCACCCATATACGTCGGTAGCGATCTTCTTGCCTAGTCTCTACACTATCTATTGGTTAAGAGTTGCTGACTGCAGATTTATAGTTCCCCATTTCGAATGAGACTTTGGAAGCGAGAGATGTAAGGCATCCAATGCCCCCAAATCAATAAAGCCACCAACAAATTCCCCAAACAAACTAGAGCAACACCTATATCAGAGGGACATGCATACATACCTAGTACAAAAAATACCCCGCTGAGCCCTCAAATACTGCCAGTGGTAGTAGTATTATTATCAATGATTCTATTTCTCGCATATACACCATAATCATGGTAGAGACACAGGGCGATGTCTTAGCCTCGGAACCGGAGCGTAGCCGCTCAAGGTCTTCCGTCGGGCGTAAGCATGACGAGGGTGATGATCAGATCCAACTGCTTGCCCACGTCTTCATAGCTGTATCTATCGTTTACTCGCCCGTTATTGCTTTCTGCTGGAGACTGATCATAATAAGCCTCTATATCACATACTATTATTTTATATTCATGTCTCATTTTCTTCTCAATATTACCCGACGTGGAACTAAACCTTTCAAGTATATGTGGAAAGTCATGTTCCACTGCATTGTCCTAGCTCTGTTAACGTCGTGGTGTGTATCGATTACACCCATCCACGTTATTACACCAACGCTCATGGACTTATTCGCACCATATACCGTACACTCCGTCCATAGAGCTACGGAGATTATATATGATGCCGGGAGTAGCGCGGAAATCGAGTTAGTATGCCCCTAGTAAAAGGTAGAAGGTCTTTTCTAACCTTGGCGCAAGCATTATCGCCATTCACGGCCTGGGTTCGAACCCAGACAGTGCCTGGACCTACAAGAAAGGTAATGGCACTGAGGTTAACTGGCTCGGAGACCTGCTGCCGACGGCCGAGGGCCTTCATAATATCAGGGTTGTGAAAGTCAACCATCAGACACGATGGGATTCAAACGTTGCTGAGTTAGGACTTCATGAGCATGCGTCTGAGCTGCTAGAGCATATTCAGAGCATCCACAAGGTGAGTACATACTGAAATAAGTATCGGGTAGTATCTAGACTAAGAGAGGTGCGTGTATAGGCAAATCCTAGGCGACCCATAGTGTTCATCGCACATAGCTTCGGGGGACTCCTACTAAAGAAGGTAAGTGAGACTTCTCAGGACTTAAAGCAACATCGCTGTTCTACCTGCATCTAGGACTAATCAAATAGCTTAGGCTCTGATTTTCGCTAAAGCCCGTTCAAAGGACGTGGCGGCAATGACTAAAGGGATCATCTTCCTCGGCGTACCTCATCAGGGTAGCAACGCTGCAATTTTTGCATCATGCCTATCCTGCATGGCTTTTTTCCGCGGTTCCTCATCATACCTATTAGAATTAATGGCTGTAAATGGCCCGAGCCTACTGGACCTCGAGTCTGAGTTTTATGACGCATACGTAATGCAGTATCATTCGGAGGACACTCGACCGTATATCTGCGATATTCTCGAAAGGAGGCCAGAAAGGATCGGAAACCTCGCCTTAGGCCCAGTAAGCTTCGCGATTCCAATCTTCTATATCATCGACGTGTTGACCACCTTAGCCTAATGCTTTCGTCCACCCAGGTAGTCAGTCCGAAGCACTTCCAGCTTCGCCATGGCAGGCTCCTAGCTCTTGACACGGACCATCGAGGTCTGAATAAGTTCCACTCACACGACGACCCAAACTTCCAAACATTCTTAATGGTTCTCTCGCAGGCATACGAGCACGCACTGCAAAACAGTAGGTCGTCTACGAATAATGTGAGAACCTATCCGCATGTTTACTAAACTGCGTCCAGGCCTTCCGCTAGAGAAAGAATTCCCTCCGCCAATACCGCCTACCGCGGACGAAGTTCTCACCAACAACCTGTTGACTATGGCAGTCTCTGACCCGCCTTGGGTAAAGACGGGCATGCTCACAACTGCCGGTCTCTACGGCCTAGAGGAATTAGTCGCCTCATGGTTGGCAAATGATAAAGGTCTTAATGGCAGTTACTTCACGCCGCGCGTCCTCCAAATGGCAGTGTACGGGGCCCTCATCCACGTGCTGCTCCGCGGCGCCATGGAGTGGTTTTTGCGCGTGTGCTTCAGCGGCCACACGGGTCTAACCTCTCAGGCACTCCAGATACTGATCACCAACCTGCTAGTACGTAGCATGCCTACCCACCTTATTTCCCTCCATCGCCGACAAAGCTGCATTCTACCGCTCCTCCGACAGGTTTCAGATGCTCACAAATAGTTTTCTCCAGATTATTCCTTTCCTTAACATACTCTACCTCGTCTTCACGGCCATGGCCGTCGACGCGCATGCCTACCGTCAAGTCCGTGGCGATTTCTTACCCATGGCGAAAATTATATGCGTCTTTGCGCCTATAAATCTATTATGCGGATACCTGTTTCTATCCGAGAATGCACGGGCGACCGCTTCTAACACCATGTCCTTTCTCGTCGGCACCTATATTAGTACCCGGATCAAGAAGAAGCGATTAGCGGCACCGCGCAGGAAGTACGAGCTCAAAAATGATTATTCGTCCGACTCAAATCCATCTAGCACAGATCCCCTACCGGTTCACGACCTCTCAGATGCTAAAAATAGCTAACGGCAAGAGGGTTTAGGGTTTGAGGTTATAATTGAACACACAAGCTGCATCGGGACGGGCGGCCACCGTACCACACATATCGGGTCAACCCCCTTAGTCAATACATGGGCCTGCTCTAATTCAAGATCAACATCTCCAGATGGACAATGACCCAGCACTGAGCAAGGACGTTGGAGAACGCGGGTGGTTGATGAGTTGATGTCGTATCACGGATCTAAAGCTATAAAACGAGAGAAAGAAAGATGTGCATAGATAGCTGGTTTAGAGGATATTTGGTATTAAAAGATACTAGGTTTAGATTATACCGGGCTTACTTACCTACCTAATCCATTCAAATTTTGCCTGCGGATATACCCAAGGAGAACGTCTTCGCCGACTTCGTAAGGGCGTTGGAGACGAGGAATTCAACCCCACGGGTCGAGCTAAAAAAAATTTTCGGAAGGGTACTGGATCGCAAGAAAATGAAACCGATGTACCAAGTCACTACGAATAAGAAGAGTCATTGGTCCGTTTTGCGTTCCCTGAAATCGTGGATGTGCGCCAAAAGACGTATCGAACTAGAAATAAACGACCATTTCTACGTTCAACTTGGGAACGCCAAGACGAGAGCTTCCTCTCGCATATTTGCGTTGCGTGTGGACGCTCCTAGAATTACCACCTAGGTAACTCCCGGGGTCATACGAAAAAGGAGTTGAAATCTTCCAAAAACTTGCCTCGTGTTATACTAGATAGAAGCTTAGTAGGGGAATCATGCGCATCCGGAATACTCATGGAATGGTCCGGATCGATACCACACTGATGAAGATATTGTTTCCACCACGCCCAGAGAATCGCAAAATAGAGCAAAAAAGGTACCTAACAGGGGATACGATGTGGTCCATGTGCCGTACCTATTCAAAACCCTCCAGCTAGGGACCGGGGAGGATTTTGAATCCGTAATGGCTCGCGTTGAGGAAGGACTAGGAGGGGAGGTCATAACGGCAACTAGGGGGTTGCTCAGCCAGGCCATCAAAAGTCTAAAAGGGGTCCCTCCAGGCGTCAGAATCGACAACCTATTCCATGAAGATATTGAGGTTCACGTTACGCCGTTTCGCCCTTTTCGATTCCGGGCTGGTTTGAGAGTGGGTATCGCCCCAAGTATCGCAGAACTGAATTTTAAAACTACGGTATGGCGTTCAAGTTATCCCTCCTTCGATCCTAAATTTCGTAGGTTACTCGCCACTGTTTCAGACATGTTCCTAATCCCGTGAAGACTCTTCCCCCATGCGCCGTAGCGACTTTTAACCCGCCCAATTGCGGCGATAGCTTTGCATCCATTTCCATACTCACACCTAATAAGAAATTAAATATTGAGAATGACTGAGTTGCTTTGGGACCGACGGCTTATTTTAACGGTGACCCTGATTTGGAAATTGATGAACATCATTGGTTAGGAGAAAGGCACAACAAGTTCCCTCAATAAGTAAAGGGGTCCTGTCACGATACTTCCACCTGACCCAAAGAAGGAAGTCAAAAAAAGAGAGAAAAAAAACAAATAAAGAGTAAAGGGTCTGACCGGGGATTGAACCCGGGACCTCTCGCATTTTAAGGCAGATAAATTCAACCCAAAGCGAGAATCCTACCACTAGACCATCAGACCCTTGCAATTATCGGGGTTTGAATTTAGCTGCTAATCAATATGAATGAATACTGCAGCAGTATAATCAGAGAATGCTGACAATAAACAAAGGAATTGCATTTCATTTAGAAAGGCTATCTTGTTCTGTTGCGTGTGCGAATTATCAGAATATCATAAGTACTTTTTTTGTGTTCCATGACGATTGCTCTCGTACGTCTCTATCCTGAGAACCTATTTTCTCCATGTCTTGCCGCGTAGATTATCGTACCCATGAACTCCTTGCTTCATCTAAAACAAAGAAAAGAAAAATACGGGAGGCGCCGCACACTCCTCATGAAGCGTGCGTAATAGTATCTGCCTAGAGGAGGTGGGTAACCCAATAAAATATATAATGTGGCGGTTAGAGGCTAAGCTGGAAAGTCTCAGCCTTGGAAATGTATTCCCGATACGGCTCCAGCTTCTTCTCGACTACACCCCCCTTACCACAGTACCTATCAACCTACATAATCTAGTCAGTATCTACTATATTTTAGGACTTTCATATAGGAGTGTGCGCTCAAATTATGAGGTGATCCCTTGAGGTTATGGCTCGTGAATAGGGCCAAGGACCTGCGCCATGGATGAATCAGAAACAATAAGGACTCACAATTGTAGCGCTTCGGCCAGTGTACAGCTTGGGGTCCAGCATCGCATCAATGTCATCCCAAATCTCTTTGAAGTACTCATCCTTCTTGATACGCTCAACGAGATCATTGTTGCCGCCCTAGTAGGTGTTAGCCACATGCATACCTTTGGTAAGTAACTTGCTTTCGCAAATTCTCTTTCGCGCCAAGGAATATATGGGATAATGTGAGATACGCGAATATAAGAGGGCATTGCAACGTACTGTGATGTCAGTTAGTATGAGTATAGAAATGCAGTAGTAATCGGAGGGAGGTTCAGTATGGAAACATGTTGTTTTCAAACATACCTTCGTGCTTGACGACATGGCTGGCTTCGTGGGAAAGCACTCGAACTTTCTCGTGCGCTTCCTGTCGAGAACCTCCTTTAGAGACCATCTTCATTAAGATCGCCTCAGTAATCATCTGCAACGTTTGAGGTTAGCAAATAACAAGGATAGGAAGTATTAACAAGTATAACCAATACATCGCTGGTAAGCGAGTGGGAAAAAGGAAAAGTGGCTCTATGACAGGTAGATATAAACATACAAACGGCAGCTCCTGTCTATTACGAGCGTCTATTCGCTTCGGGTAAACGACCAAGCCATTAGTCACATTGTCAAGTCCGATCAAAATAGCATCTGCGAGGAGGAACTAATAATAGTCAGCTCTCGTACAATTTCTTCTAGATCGAGTCGTGTCATGTCTCACCATTTCCGGAATGTCAATACGACGGATAGCTACCCAGGTTACATGTTAGCGGTGTAAACCAAAAGAATGATGAGGTTGCTTACCGCTGTCGTCGAGAGATCTTTCCAACCACTGTGCAGAAAACGTGTTGGAGAAATTGACTGGAAGACTAGCAAGTTTGCGGCCAAGAGAGCAGATACGCTCAGAGCTATGGTTGAATAAGTTAGTGATGCAGGATATAATAATAATACCGGATTAGAACAATAGACAGTATGAACACTGCTACTGGGCTATCCAGATTTTCTCAGGCATCGATCTAACATCACAAAATAGTCAGTACTTACCGCATAGGATTCCTCTTGTAAGCCATAGCGGAGCCTAGACGACTGATGTTAGCACTTGTTATACTCGTTTGGAATAAGACCCATTGAGAGGATCCTCCAAGAGTAGGAATTGCTACATCCTGACGAAACATCACCCCATAATTTGGTTCGAAAGGAACTTACTTCCGATTTGATCTTTCTCAAATGGTTCTTCCCTAATTATAATGGTTAGTCGACGCCTGAGAAATACCCCCGGGGGATTCGACGAACAGTTCCTTGAGGTTGGCAAGATGACGGACTATCAAATTAGTCTCTAGTATCACGCAAATTGTCTTGGTGTTTCGTTTGATACTTACTGTCCGATGTGATTCGTTGTGTGGTGGCGCCCAAGCCGGCGATGGCATTAGCTATCCGCAGGTCGACTTTTCGCGTGTAAGTCTGCGTCGAGATTGGGTAGCACTGCAACAATTAACATACAAAACGCCTCGTTTTGGTTATATACCTAGGTTACTTACACCAGGGAATCCGGCCTTCTTGCAAAGAAGAACATTTAGTTCATCAACCTTGGCTTCGTCGCCTTTAAACAGCTCAAGGAAGGAAGCCTGAGTGCCTGTTGTTCCTTGTCCTCCTCGGAATTGGAGTTCTTTGCGCACGTGTTCGATATCCTCAAGGTCCATCACAAGTTCTTGGATCCATTGAGCAGCTCGCTTGCCAACCGTAATCATTTGCGCCTGGTCATGAATGTTAGTCATCTTGCTCCTTGAAGCCTTTTAAAGATGATTGGGTCGCTCCGATCGCGACTATCTCTCCCTGACGACCAAAGATTTGGAGTATTTTCGAGCCAAACGGTCTCGATCATTTCCGAAGTACTATTCAAGGTTACTTACAGGTTGGTAGTGCGTATAGCCCAGGGTTGGCTCATCGCGCCATTGCTGCGCGAAGTTGGATAGATTGCTTTGGAAAATTAGTATTCCTTGCCAATCATCTCACTCTTGTGAGTGTCGCCACTTCTAAGGGCGCATCTCAAAACATGGAACGACCATCGTAACCGTTCGTTTACATACTATATTATCGAATCAGTACTCAACTCACCGAGTGATGTAATCTAGCTATATCTATGGCTCTAGAGCGATGACTTACCCTGATGACCTTAGCTAACTTAGGGAGGATAAGATCCATAGCATTGCGCATAAGGATTAACTCGGTGTTATCAGTAACTACAAGAAAATCAATAACAATGCGGCGTATTAAGGGATACAAGCTAAGCTACCGAAGCACGAAGTAGCCTATGTGCGACATTAGCGTATATAAAATTTTACGGATTCATCATGAGCCTACACCAGCATGGATGATACCAGCAGCCGCGGGCGCAACAACGCCATAGGCATGGACATGGCCCATTACATCGTGTCGGCGACGGCGCTCCTCTTCAATTGCGATCTGGAAGTCATCGTCCGTTACGGTAAGGTGGGCCCGCATCTGTTCGAGCGCTTCATCCGTGACTATAGCACCACTTCAAGTTAATAAACGTAAATTCTACGATATTACAGAAATCTGGCAACTCGTCGCGGTAATTCGAGTGCGCGCTATATGCGATAGGCTGTGTCAATTGCTTACTGGACTCGAGACCAAGCTCCTTCTCAGCTTCGGCGAGCCATAACCAAAGCTGGCGCCAAGTGCTGTGTCTGCTCCTCTGGCTGAACAGCTTTTTCATCTCCTCGCTAGAGTAGCGGGAGTCGAGAGGAGTCTTGTAATAGTCGTAGCCTGCCATTGTTAAACGTCGCCTAGTGTAAGGGGGTAGGTAGGCAAGTATGCTGATCGATGTTGAGCTACGATTTATCGCGCAGTCAGTAGGAAGACAAGACGCGCAAACTTATCAATGGGCAAAAGGAGATAGATGACCCGAGGGAAGAAAAAGGACCTAACCTATTCAGCCCAAGGAAGGTCACACGGCACGAAAATAAAAATAAATTAGCCTGCCAAACCACGTTATGATTTATGTACGAACTCCCCTTATGCAGAAAAACTATTGCGATTCCTTTCTGTTACTAAATAATTTTCATATTGCCAAATAGCGGGGTGAATGGCACACAAAAATCTCAATGGAGGGGTAGATTGACCCGTAAGCGGTAGGCGGTGACGGGCGTGCCAAGCCCCACGATAGTTCTGGGCTGTATTAGTCGAGTCTAATTGGCCAATTCAAGCTTGTTCTAGGCAGGCATCGGACTGGAACTATGAGTAGTCGCGCATATTCAAGTAGCAGTAGATACCCATGCAAACAAAACCATGGTAAAATGGAGTAAATCCTTCGAAATTGACCAGGCCAACTTAATCAGGTAGGGACCTGTTAGGTTGAATCTAACTAATGCATTGTAAATCATGTGAGCATTGTCTAGAACACAAATTGATATCAGTTGAGAAGCCCCGAAAGTAACTTATAAGGTATATCTAATGTAACTTACATTTACCCCTATACTGCTTTTGCCGAGAATTTGAACGTATAGTGGTGCATATTGATGGACCAGACTTCTACGTCATAACTTTGAGAGAAGACTTGTATTCGAACCTTATACCCGTAAAAGGGACGGCAATGCCTCTAGGTTGCCGGTTTCGCAGAGCAAATCATTGCGTATCTTCTGGTGGCATATCCCAAGTTCTCATGGGTTTCCCGTGTTGTTTTCTTTTCCCGAGAGCTGCGCCACCACCACCAACGAAGTTCATGACCCATTCCCGTACTCTTCTCGTCTTTAGCAATTGGGGATGTGCCGGCTTTTTTGATGAGACATCTTTCATAGAATATAAACCGCCCTGGTCATCCTTGTCCAACTTCCTTCTGTTGAGTAGGTCAACTTTGGTGAGGCCCTTCCGTAGGCTGTAGCCATGCACCTTTTTCATGAAGACACTTAGCGCAACGTTGCGAAGAAGCACGATGTCCTGTCTACGAAGCTCCCTGAGAATCTTGCTCGAGGACTCGTTGAGTTCTGATGTAAGCCAGAAAGTGACGCTAAACCCAGACTTGGTTTCATCTCCTACGAGAAGTTCGATTAGAGACTTGGTTGAGCCCCACCTAGTTTTCACTGTGCGTGGCTCAGCGATCGAGATAATACCGACAATGAGGTTGACTGTCATCGTCTGCGGTGAGATTGATTGTAGATATGCTGCACTGGGCACATCTTCAAGGTCACTGAGATGAGCTGATTGCGCAACTAATGACTGATCTTGAGGGGTAAGCTTGTTGTTTTGGGTCGAGTCCTGGGTACTCCTTTCCTCGGTAGTATTCAGTAAGGACTCGTCAGTACTAAAGCTCAAAGTTGGGAGCTGAGACGATGAGATGTCATCGTGGACAGCC